AATGCTATACGGAACAGTTCAATGTCATCAGAAGTGAAGGCCCAGATCCTTCCAGAGGAATGGAAGAGACAATTGAGCACTACTTAGCTCTATTGACCCCAGAATTTCCTTTCCCAACCCAGCAGCCTGGTCTTGCTACCTTTCCCTTTATGCCAATACCAGGAACCTTTGAATCTCTCTCACTTTCCCTGGATTCTAGAGATTCCCAGCATCAGGAAGTGGAGTGGGGAGGGGCAGCAGAGCTGGAGGAGGAGCCTTATTACAGCTCCTTTTCCTGACCTTGGTCCATCTGTGAGGATTCTGGTTCACAGGCAGATAGTGGAATAAACAGAGTGTCTTGATTGCAGGAAATGTTTCTTCAACCTTTGTTCCTGAGCTCAAAGGGAATCTAAACTTCATTTTCTAAAAATAAGCTCCGAACGCTGACCCGCAGCCAAATGAATCCTCATATGGGTGCATGGACACAAAAGTGGTTGCTATCACATCCTGAAAATGGCATTACCCTGGTATTTACATCCAACTCCCAGAGTCAAGGAAGAATGAAGGGAAATTTGTAGGTCAAACCTTATTGCCTAAATTGTGGTTAAAAATATTTTACTCTTCAGAGCTTAGGGTAGCTAGGATTTGGGGCAGTTGATTATCAGCTGTGATTCTCAGGGGAGCGGGCAGTTAAAAATAAATTACTATTGATTTGTCTGAGGATTATGGTTACCCACCTTTACAAGGATTTGGAGTAAGGAAGGCTGGAGGTCCTGCCCCATCTCAGACACTTAGCATTTAAGCAAAGCCTACTACTTATCAAACCCTTGGCAAGTCATAGCCTCTCTGAGCCTCAGTTTACTGGTGTAAATCACAGCACATATCTCATAGATTGCAAGGATCAAATGACAATGTGTAAGAGTTACCTTGCAAACCCTACAGCATTATATAAATGTTTGCTCCACAAAAGATCTGTGATTTCAACAGCTTTGGGAATTCTTGATGTAGGAACTTTTTCTACCAAAGCAGACTGGAAAGTCTAGGACCAAGTTGGTAAGTCAGTCAGACTATAAATACATATTTATTAAGTGCCTACTATGTGCCAGACACTAAGTTGTAGGTTGTTGCCTGAGGCTTGTAGAGATTAAATGATTTGCCTTGGTCCTATAGCTAATAATAATCAGAGGCACGATTTGAACCTAGGTTTTTTTTTTCTTCTTCTACAAATCCAGTGTTCTATCCACTATACTATACTACCTCTCTACACCCATCATTACCCTTTCCAGTAATGTTTGTTTGAGAGAACTTAGATGTAAAATAAAAGGACTGAAACAGAAGTCTTTTTGGGACTGGATGTGAAGCAAGAATTAAGACCTGAACAGTAAGTCCATTCAAATCCCGGGACAGACCATCCATCCTGTTACTCATGCAAGCCTGCAAATAATACCTGATAGCAACCAATCAACAAGTATTTATTAAGCACCTACTTTGTGCCAGGCACTGGAGATGCATTGACAAAAGGATGAAACAATCCCCCAAATTCATGAAGATAGGATAGAGAAACCTTTTCAGAGGAGCATTTAAGCTAATCCTAGAAGGAAGATAAAATTCTGGAAAAAAGAGTAAATTGCAAGTATGGAGGTTGGCTCGTATGAATGTATAAAGGCAGGAAATCAAATGTTGAGTTTAGAGAGCAATAGTAGTGATCCAGTCCATTTGACTACAATGTAGAGTGTGTGAGGAGGAAAACTGAAATAAGGCTAGAAAGTTAGGTTGGAGACAGATAGTAGAAAACCTTGAATACCAGGCTGATGAGTTTTTATTTATTTTTATTACTTTAAAATTTTATATGCAGTAGGGAAATACTGCAGGTTTCTGAGAAAGGGAGTGACATGGTCAGATATGTGCCCAAGTAAGTTTTCTTTAGAAAGGCAGCTGGATGGGTGGGGATTGCAGAGAAAACAAACAGGAGACAGGAAGACCAATTGGGGGGCTTTTATAGTAGACCAAGTGACGAATAATGCAGGCTTGACCTAGGATGATGATCCTTTGAGTGAAGAGAAGGGAAAAGATGTGAGAAATATTAAAGAACAGAGGGTCTTAACTGAGAAATGAGAACTTGTGTTTTGAATCTTTTTAATAACTGTATTTCAACATAATTGGTTTCCTTCACAATCCAATAGGTATGCCTATCAATTAGAGAACGCCTGAACAAATTGTGGTATATGACTGTGATGGAATACTATTGTGCTACAAGAAATGACAAGCAGGATGATTTCAGAAAAAAACCTGGAAAGACTTACATGGATCAATGCAAAGAGAAGCAAGCAGAATCAGGAGAACAGTGTACACAGTAACAGCAATATTGTATTATGATGAATTGTGAATGACTTAATGATTCTCACCAATACAATGATCCAAGACAATTCTGAAGGATTTATGATGAAAAATGCTACCCACCTTCACAGTAAGAACTGGAGTCTGAATGCAGATTGAAGTGTACTTTTCTTAAACTTTATTATTGTTTGTTTTTTTTTGGAGGGGGGAAGGAGACTGTTTTCTTTTACAATATGGCTAATATGGAGATGTTTTGCATGACTGCACATATACAATCCATATCAAATTGCTGCCTTCTCAAGGAGTGTAGAGGGATGGAAGGGAAGGAATTTGAAATTCAAATTTTAAAAAAATGAATATTTAAAAATTTGTTTACATGTAACTGAGGAAAAATAAAAATTAAATGTAAAAAAAAACCTAAGTCTCTAGGATGGCTTTATTGCCTCTTAGGGAAAAGCTAGTGTAGGCTAGTTTACATGGCAGAAACCTCAGTAGATGTAGCATCTACTATAGCAACGTTGGTGAAATGGTGAAGATTTATAGTAATGGAGGCTGGGATGAGTATAATGAAGTCAACCTCTAAACCCAGGCAGTTTAAAGCATAAAGTATTTTGATGTTCTCCCTACTCCTCCATGCCCTTCTTTTCATATTCCAAGTGTGGGAACCCCTTAATTTCCTGTTCCTCTGGTGGATGGTTGAATTGGAACAAAATTTTGGCAGACGTTAACAGAGAACAGGAGGATACCGAGATGATGAAGGCCTCCAATCCCAGGTGGCCCAGAGTATGTTGTAGAGTTTCTTTCATCTTTTTTTTGACTTTTCATTTATAATTAATACCACACAGCTGAGCACTTAATTATGCTTCAATTGTTTCACCTTTGTCACTTTTGTTTCCTCAACCAGATGGTGAAATCCTTGACGGCAGAGACCATGTTACATATTTCTTTTATATAGCCTTCATGGTGCTAAGTATTAAGTAAAGTTTAGTGTAGTTAAAAAAAAAAAAGCTCTGGATTTGGAGTCAGAAGACTTGGATTCAAATTCTGAAACTGCTACTTACTATCTGTGTGACCTTAGACAAGTCATTCCCCTTCCTTGACAAATGGATCAGCAGTTGCCTCCTGGGTCCCTAAGATCCTTTTACGGTATTTTTGAGTTCAAAACTATTTTCAAAGTAACAGTCTTTTGCCTATTAAAATAACTGTTCCTTTTCGAGCTACGTATCTGTCTGAGGCCGAATTTTCTTCATATGCTTCAACCAAAACAATTATTGCAACAGATTGAATGCATAGGCAGGTGGAGGCATCCAATTGTCTTCCTTTAAGTTAGATATTAAAGAGATTTATAAAAATAGGCAAAACAATTTCATTGTTCTCACTAAATTTTTTGTTTTGGAAAAGTTTTCATGAAAATGTGTTAACATGTAAAGGCATTATTATTTTAAAATGGGTTAACAATAAAATTTTATCAATTTAAATTCCCAATTATATATCTATATATCTTCACATAAACAAAAGCTCTTTGAGGTCCTCAATAATTTTTTAAGAGAGTAAAGGGGTCCTAAATAATTTTTAAGTATAAAGGGGCCCTGAGACCAAAACACTTGAGAACCACTTGACTGGATAATCTCTAAGGTCCCTTCCAACTCTAAACTCCCATGACCCAATAATATGTTTGATCAATTACCTTGATATGCTGAAGGGTTCAGTGCCCTGCCAATGATCTTTCTAGGTGCCAGGCAGTACATACTCACTTCTAAGGTAGCGAATCCTAAGCAATCCTCAAACATCCCCTCATTTTCTAAGACAAAAGCTTAGAGACACTGACTTAACATTTTGCTGGACCTCAAAATGTGAAGGGAAAAGCAACCACTAAATGCCACCACTGACCAATGATACTCTCTTGGTTAGTATGGTGAGTCTTTGCACCCACATGTTTAACCCACTGCAATGTGGGTTACAGAAAAATATGAGCAAGCAGCTCCAGAGGTCCATGAAATTGCCGTCAACACTGAAGGAAATAACAGCATTAAAGTAAACTGGACAGAGCCTTCTTTGCCTCCACTCCCCAGGGAAAGGGGCAGTTTCAGGAAGCACTTCATCTTACGTCCTTTCTGACTTGTTTATGGAAACAAAAAAAAAAATACGGGATTTGGTTATCCACAACACTCTTTGGACAGGTTAAAAAATAAACAAAACTATGAGAGGAATATTTGGGCACAACCTGTTTCTGACACACAGTGACTGAATAACCGTAGGCAAGTCACTTAACTTCTCAGTACCCAAGGCATTCTCCAAGACTCTCAGTGGCAGAACCGTTGTCTGGCTGCATTGACAGAGGGACTTTTCTAATGGTGAAGTCATGGTGAAATCACAGATCTGGACAAAAAAGCAAAAACTAACACCTCCTCCTTCCCATCATAAGAGCCTCCAATTTCCTGCTTAAAGAAAGAAATTGTATCTCGTCTGAGCAATTATTTCACCTTTGGATCCCTACTGGATGAAGGCAGAGATGGATGGTATTCTATGGGCCTGGATGAGGATCACACACATTCTTGTGTTCTCCACTGTCTCCCTTAACCCCATTCTTGATAGGTTTGGGTGATTTCAGAACTGTGTGGCATCCCCTGGTACTCAGTATGCTCATACACATTCTTACTGTCTCAGACCCTCACACAGATTCATTTCTTTAAAAGTTTATTTCTGGTGAATACAAAAAAATAATTTCTGTGGCCAGATAAATAGCATACAGACACTATGACATCAGGGATGGACCATTTCTGATTCCTTCTGGATTTGCAGCTTGATGAGGGCAAGTTGCCAAGCAAGAGCCTGTCTCATACACCCTGGAACGATTCTGAGTTCAAGGTTGAGCATTTAAAACATGGACGCTTGTAAGAGGGGTAAGGAAGCAGATTCACAGCAAGAAAAAGCTCAAACTTCATTTACAAAAAAAGAAAAATCCCTTCATAGTGTTTTTTTTTAAAAGAGAAAAATCAACATAATAAAGTCCATTCCTAATGATTTATAACATATTACCATTTATAGAGGGAGAAAGATGGAGCCAGTGAAGGGTAGTAATCTTATAGGATGTCAAGAGCATCTTAGTTCATTTACCCAGAACCCAAAATCTGTGGAACTTTGGCCCAACTCTAGGGAGATGACATTTAACTAACTTGCAATATGGAATCTATATACCATGTGTTCATTTTCACCTTCCAAAATTCCAAAACTAAAATCAGTGTGTTCTTGTTTTGTCCTTTCCTGTTGTAGAGTGGGAAAGGTAATTTGCAGTAGGTAGTAGGAAAACATGATTCCACAGAAACTGATAATGAAGCATGCTGTCCACCTCCTGATGGAGAAGTGATAGAATGAGACATGGTTTTGGTCCTGGTCAATGTGGGGATTGGTTTTATTTGACTATGCTCATATTATAAAAGTTTTGTATTTCTTCATCCTTTGTGGTACTCTCCTCCATACCCTACCCCCCTTTTCTCCCCTCCATTCAATAGTGGGGTGGGAGAGGGAAAAAGAAAATGCTTGTTAACTGAAAAACAAAACTAAAATTAAGTGGTGGGAAAGATCACCCAGGCTGTAATCCATAATTCAGAAAATTAAGTTCAGTTAAGTCCCTACTACCATGTTCTGTCTTTAAAAATGCAAATACTGAACCACAGAGAGCATTAGCCCTTATAAGGATTGGCCAAGCTCAGTGGCTGCTACAGTTTATCCTCTAAACAAATATACAAAGTCAAGCTGTTTGTATTTTATTTGTGTTTCCAGCATTGTCTTTTCGTTTGGGTACTAGAAGCGTCCTCATTATGAGGGTATAACCTAAATTACATCTTTATTTTAATCTAAGGAATTTGGTTTAAAGCAAGGACAAGAAGTCATGACTAAGGATGGAAGATTTTTTAACCCCATCTTTCAGTTCTATATACTAACTACAGTTATCTCCTTTGGGAGAATGATTTTGTACCTTTCCCAGGAAGCTTTTTATTAAGAGGAAGGCACAAGGTTCCTAGAGCCACCCAAGGAAAAACCACCCCTCTGATTTGAAGAGGGAGGCTGCATGTTTGCTCTGGGACATTTTGAGTTAGTAGATGTGAGGCATTTCTAAAGACTATACCTAAAGGGCTGAAGTCCAATGACTTCTAGTGAGGTACCTTAGTCAATGGTACTGGAAATACCAGCTGGCAACTCTGCATATGCCTCTGAGACAGACAGACAGACACTCACTTTCTCTCTCTCTCTTACACACACACACACACACACACACACACACACACACACACGCGTAGTGGAGAGTAATTTTAAAAAATGTAATTGCAAATCTGATAAATTATAGTATTACAATGCACCCAAATTTTAAAAGTTTTCATAGATTTTTGTGTTTCTTTTTCTTTTGGTGGTGGTGGTAAAGAAGACTATAAATTTGTTTTGTCCATAAATTCACTGGCAGAATATTCATAGAAAAACACTCTCAGAAAACCAATACTTGCCAACATAAGAAGCCATAAGAGTTCATTTCCATGAGTCTCATGATTTCTATAAAATTAGCATGTAAAGAAGCTAAAAGGATGTGTACTTCTTAGACTGTACTCTGAGCAGAGCAGAGGCCCAGGACATACCATTGTTGGCTGGTCTAAATCCTGTTACAGAGCACATTTCAAAAAGCTACACTCATTGAACTTCCAGTTTTCCCCCAAATTCTACACTAATGCTTGGTGTCACTGTAGATTAGGAGATGAGTCAATAATTAAGGTTTATGACTGCAGATAAAACACTTAGCACCTGTGATTCTACGATCCTTTAGCCCTTTGCCCAAATGGTTTTTAAGAAAATCAGATACGTTGGGTATCTTCTACTGGCCAGTTTAATCTCTGGGCACAGCTCAGTTTCGGAGCACTGGAGATCATTTTACTGAGAGAAAGACTAAGTTGCTGGTTTCCCTGTGTTCATTGCAAAGTAGACTCCTCAAATGTTCAACAACAGCTCTTCAATTTGCAGGCCTTTGGACCCTGGGGATCAAAGTAAAACTCTAGGTCCCAGCATAAGAAAAAAAGGCAATGACCAGCACATCCCACATTTAATAGACAATGTAACCTCACACATATCTTTATTGGTTACCCTTATCTAAACCAAAAATGTGGATACCTTTGATTTATCATCCCCTTGATGACAGAACAGTCAAGACTGGATTTGGAATTAGGAGATCTAGAAATGAGTCCCCATTGTCATTTACTAGATATGCGACTTTTATCAAATCATTTCACCTGTCCCTCTTTAGGCCTTAATTTTCTCCTATGTAAAATAAGGGGTGAGAGGTTGGGCTAGATCAGGGTTTTTAACTTGGGTTGTTAACTTAAAAAAATACTTTTATATTTCAATATAATGGGTTTCCTGTATAATCCTATATATTTTATTTTATGCATTTAATAAACATTGGTCTGAGAAGAGGCCTATAGGCTTCAGAGTGACAAATGGGTTCAGGACACAAAAAAGATTAAAAACCCGCATACATCTATGATCTTATGAAAAGAAAGTGATTTCCTGAAACAAAGACTCATGTTTGGGGATATTAGCCTTTAGAAAACTTTTAATTTTAGCCAGAGGAAGGTGCTCTCTTAAAAATCTAAGCAGTAAGATCTAGGGGGAACGGAACAATTATTAAAAAATGTCTAAACCTACCATCAAGCCACATACCATTTTATGGATAAAACAAAGCCCACATCTGATTGCCCAAAATGAGGTTATTCACATAGGATGGTGTGTGTGTGTGCGTGCGTGCATGCACATGTGTGCGTGTGTGTGCTAAGTGAGGAAAGAACCAACTAAGGCTACACTGCATGGGATAGTACATCCTGCAAACAGCATCCAGAAGGGTAACAGCAGCAACAAACCCTGACAAAGGGGGACGTTTAGGCGCTACAAAAATAAACTTCTGTCTTTCTTTCCTATTCCTCACAGCTTGCAAAGGATTTGGCTTTCTATTTATCCTCTTCAGCCAGTTTCCTTGTAAATACATTAGGAAATATCTACTGATGTTTCAGACTCCCCTCACTAAGCTGTGTGACAAAAGAGGCTTCACCGTCATCATCACACGTGGGAGGCAGGGGCATAGCCAGGGGGTGTATCTGAGGGGATCTCTGAAGAGGCTCAGGGACGGGCCAAGCTCCAGGCAGCATCCACACAGACCAGCTGCCACACTCCACGAGCCCTCCACCTTTTCCTGAGATGCCACAATTCTATCTATTCCTTGATTCTGGGGAATTGGTAAGCCCACTGCCTTCTTAACCCAATTCCCTGTACACATTCTCAAGTTAAAACAAAACCAAAAACAAACCTAGACACTATCATCTTTAAGTCTCTACTAGTCCCTAAAAAAACTTCCCTGATACGTATAGTGCATGCAAAGTCTCTTAAATAGGGGAAGTCTTCAATAGCTGAATGGTACTTGAATACTATGAGATTGCTCTGAAGTCCAATTAGCAAGGTTTCATGAGCAAGGATGGCAAGATGGATGGGCTAGGACTGGGGTCTGCCGTATAAATGATTAATTTGGAAATGTATTGCAATCTAAAAGTGGAGCCTTTCGAAGGCTGGAAAGACCATCTTTTCCCATTCTAAGTGGACTTTCCAATCCATCCCATACAGAGTTAATGACAGCAAGGAAGGAGAAGGAAATAAAGCTAACACTCTCCAGGAAAACAGGCAGAGGGTGAAAGCTTTTTCTGACAAGCAGGTTCTGCTGCTCCCTCCATGAACTTTACAAAGGACTATGCTTGGGATGACTGGCTCATCTTACATGTACCTTCTTTAATAGGAGTATCAGAATACTCTTGGGAATTCAGGGAAAAGGTAAAGTACCTTATGAAATATTGCATTTAAAAAAAAAGGAAGAAAGAAAAAAAAAGTTCCAAAAAGTAGTAGGTGAGGGGGAAGTACCTGAGGACATTTAAAAAAAAAAAAGAGAAAGTTCTAGAAAGTTCCAATATGATAAACTATTTCATACTGATGCTCAATCAAGGAGATGAAGCTTGTGAGTTATTTTCTCACCTCCTGAACAATGGAATTTCCAAATATGGAGACTGACTTTTTCTGAGAATACAGTAGTTTTGATACAGGACAAAGCCTACAGATGGGAGAAGAGGAAGGAGAAAGAGGAGACACTGAGCAATTCATCCATTCTGGATGAACGCCCTAAAGTAACTTTTAAAAGGTGGCCAATATGCTTGGACCTTAACTAGAGAATGGATGGGTGTATTTGTGTGTATGAATGTGTGCAAACCTAAGCAGCTTCAGAAGAGTAACTAAGCATGCATGTTTTATTACAATCCCTTGCTTCCCAAGGTCTGACAGGCCTCCTTTTCCTTAGCCCACTGGAGTTCTAGAGAGGAAAAACAAAAAACAAAAACAAAAAACAATATTTCACTTCCTGGGCCACAGAATATACAATTGGTACATATCATACAAGTAGATGATAGATAAGGAGCAAGAACAGACCCACAGACTAGTGCAATTGGGAGCAATGATTCTTCTAAAATCCGAGGCGAGTCAATTACCAAAACACAAAATTGGGGGGGGAGGGCACACATCACCCTCCTGGAGTCCGAACTGGTTTGCGTTTGTAGCTTAACTGTGTCCAAACCACGTCTGCCATCTTCTCTGGAGAAGGAGAAGAATCATTTACTCTATAGTGGTAGATACCGGTGACGTGAATGACTTTTCCTCAGTTTTTCTTTCTTCCTATTAAGATTCCCCCAAAGATCCCAATAACAGGCCGGGGGGGAGGATTGACAAAATCCAAATGTCAAAGAGTGACATAATACTGATTTTTTTTTTTGCGGGGGGAATAGGGGTAACAGTTCATAAAATGTGTGTCCTCTCTTGAGATACAGTGAATGAGGAAGGGGAAGAGAAGGGGACACTGTACCGTGGGGACGACACGATCATGCAGCTTTTGCCGTACAGATGAACAAGAACATAAACACACATTTGTCTGGTGCTCCTCTGAGCACCTGCAGGCAGTTTCCAGATAAGCCCGTGGCTCATCAGAAGGATGTCAGTTTGGTTCTTTCTATAGCGGCCCCTTGGGCTTTTGACCTCAGCTCTGGGGTTTAGCCCTCATCCTCTCTCAGCTCTGTGGGGAGGAATTTGTATTGCTGCTGGCGGATCTGAGCCAGTTTTTTCCTTGCTTCTTCTAGTTCTCGTTCTTTCTTCAGCATTTCTTCTTGGGCAGCAATGATCTAGAAGAAAAGCAATAAGGCTTGATGGACTTGAAGAAGACATGGGCATGCCCCTGCTACTTTTTCTTTACCTGTCATCTTCCTTTCCATCTCTCTGTGCCGGGCACAGCGGTCCTTCATAATTTAATTTATTTTAATTTATTTAATTTAATTAATTTTATTTTATTTAATTTTGGCTACTACCTATTACCTTCCCTGGTAACTTCTCCATTTCCCCAAGAAAGCTCAGCTTAGATGGAGGGGCTTGGTATCAAGGACCTGAATTGTCAGAGAACCCATTTGCTCATTCCCCTCCTCCCCTCCAACTCCTCTTCTCACAACTCCTTTCACTTTTTCCTCAACTCTTTGTAATCTGGCTTCCAACCTCATCATTCCACTGAAATAGCTCTTTCCAAATTTACTAACAGGCTGCCATTTTCTCAGTCCTCATCCCTCTCCACCTGTCTGCTGCATTTGACACTGAGGACTACCTTCTCAATACTTTGTTCTCTCCCTGGGTTTTCATGACCCGACTCTCCACTGTTTCTCCTCTTACCTACTGACTGTTCCTTCTCAGTCTTCTTTTTTTATAGTTCCCTATCAATACCATGTCCCATAACTATATATGGATATTCTCCCAGGTCCTATCCTAGGTTCTCTTCTCTTCTCTCTCTTGGTAATCTTATCTACTCTCATGGGTTAGCTATCATCTCTATAGATGACTCACAGATCTACATTCAGACCCACTTTGTCCTCTGAACTTCACATTTGACATTTCACACTGTCCTGGAGACACCTTAAACTTAACATCTCTAAAACTGAACTTAGTGTCTCTCCTCCTAAAACCTCCCCTCTTTCAGACTTCCCTGTTCCTCTCAAAGGTACCATTATCCTTCCAGTGTGTGAGGTTTATTATCTCAGCGTTAGCCAAGACTTCTCACTCTTCCTTCACTGTATGTATCCAATCAGTTGCTATTAAGTCTTGCCCTTATAATATTTCTTCCATCGGACTCCTCTTGTCTCCCATAGTTGCCACCTTATGTCAGGTACTCATCACTTCTGACTGGTGACACCTGACTGTGTGACTTCCCTTCCCAGACAACTCCAGTGGTTTCCCATTGCTTCTAGGATACAACGTAAATTCCTCTGTTTAACTTTTAAAGACCTACACAACTTGGGTCCAAGTTATCCATCCAGTCTTGTCAGAAGTTACAGCCCTCCCACTTAGTGTGATCCAGTCAAGCTGGCTTTCTTTCTGTTCCTCACTCTGGACACCTCATCTATCACCTCCCTGCTTTTGCACTGGCTGTCCCCCATGCCTGGGATGCATCCCTTCCTCACATAAAATACTTCTCCCTCTTCAAGATTCAGCTCAAGTATCATTTCCTAGATGAAACATTTCCCTATCCCTCCAACAACTTTGTACCCTTCATCCCAAACTACCTCCTATTTAACTACTTTGCATTTATTTGTATTTATTCTCTTTATATTTATTCAGAATATATTTATGCAGGGTGGCTCAAAAGCTTTAGTACTGTGTTAAATTACTAAAGCTTAAAGATACCCTAGGTATGTGCCTATTCTCTTTATCATTTGAATATAACCTTGTGATTGAAAGGACGGTTTCTTTCTTTGTACTTGTATTCCTTGCACTTAGAAGGCCCTTAATAAATGTTTGTTGATTGAATGATTGGACCCTTAGCAGCTATTGTAGGGGCCAAGACTGGAGGGTGCACCAAACGTTAGTCCTGAGGGTTCACACACCTGAGCAATGCCGCCCACAAACTTTGTCTTCACCACCACATCATCATCATCAGCTTTGCCAAAGGCCGCTTTCTGCGCTGCACGCACAAGATTGTCAGATGCTCTTTTCACAGCATTTCCTGCAGCCTAGAGTGAGAGTGAAATACAAATCATATCATTAAAGACACAGCCATTCAGATTAGGCAAAACAGACCTTCAGATATGGTCAAACAAAGATGAAGAATTCAGACCCATGGGAAGAGCCAGAGTGAAGCAAACAGAACTAAGAAAACAGTATAGATAAAAACAACATTGTTAGTGGAGATCATTAAACAAAATGACCAATTGGTCTTAGAGAAAAGTTGAGAAAAAATGTATTTCTCTCCCTTTGTTAAAAAAGTGGAAGGATATGAGTGTGGAATATTGCATATAATGTCAATGTGTTTCTTTTGCTGAACCACAATCCCACCACCTCTTTTCTGATCTCCCTGCCACCTTTCCTTTTATATCTTTGTTTAAAGGGTTGGCTTACTTGGTAGATGGAGAGAAGGATATCTTTGGAAGTGACTGTGATTTAAAAACAAAAAATCAAGAAATTAAATTTTAAAAGATGAAGCCAAATTAATCAAACAACTAACCCTAAATAATAAGCATTTCTTTAGTGACTGTAACATACCAGGCACTGGGGATACAAAGACAAAATCAAAAATATATCACAGGATCGCAGATGGAAGGAACCTTAGAGATCATCTAGCTTGAACTCATCATTTTAAAGATGAGTCTCTAAGGACAAGAGAAGTCAAAAGACTTGCCCATGGTCACACAGATAGTAAGCAGCAAAGCTGGGATTTGTTTTTCAAAGCATTTTTTCTAGCATCCTTGCTTTTTAAAAAATAATTTAAATTAATATTTTATTTTTGTATGGCCTACATTTTCCTTGGTATCCTTCCCCATACCCTCCTCAATTAACTATCCCTTATAACAAATAATATTTTTTAAAAAGAAAGAGGAAGAAGAGAAAAAAATCTGCAAAATTGATTAATGCATTGGACAAAGTCTGAAAACATATAAGACCTCCCACCTCTTCAAAGGAATGCTATCTTTGGGGTTGTGCTTGTTCTTTGTAATTCTTCAACGTTCCTTTTCAATTCTTTAGTGGTTGTCATTATTTACATTGACATTTTTAAAGAGTTATTGTCTAAATCTTCCATGCTTTTCTGCAGTTATCATATTTGTTGTTTCTTACTGCACAGTAACAAGGTACATTCATGTACCCCAACATTTTTAGCCATGTCCCAACTGATGGGCATGTATTTTGCTTCCAGTTTTTTGCTTCCATGAAAAGTCTAGCATTCTTTCTACTACCCCCTGCTGCTTTCCTGGAGTTCCTGACCTCCAAAAGCCTATATTCCATCAGTCAAGAGTTCATTTTTCATTCATATTATTATAAATAAGATTATTCTAATCAATAAGCAGTGAAAATGACCTTGAACAGCTTGGCCCAAAACATTTTTGGTTATAGCCAGGGTTTTGTATTAATTGTTTCCCTCAATACCAGCGTAACTACTAAAGACTTACTCTTTCTTTGATATGAGATCACTGTGGTCTTTAGGGTTGTAATACTTTTAAATAGAAAGTGTAGATCTTGGTCACATATCCCAGCCAAACCTGTTGAGCTTTTTCCTAATAAGTATGGTATTTCTGTCTGTGCTATTAGCAGGCCTGATAGTCTACACTGTTTTTCTAGTTGTGATGATGAACTGTGATGTGGTACCTCTGCTACCTCCCCCAATCCCCACCCCATTTTCTTGTGTGGTCTCTTGTGACCAGTGATTTTTGATGTTTAAGATGGGACCTAGAGTCAGCTGAGCTGTGGGAGATGTCACAAAGAACTAGAAGGACTCACGCCTGTGAATCAATTTTTATCATTTTAATGATGAACAGATATTGTCACCATTGAGGGAACATTGTTTAGCCATTTGCTTCCATTTATAATTTTGCTAACTCACATATAAACATCTATGTGTGTATGTGTAAATATGTATACATCAACTTATCATTATACATATGTTTTCTGATAGAGTCAGAGCTCCTTGGGTGGCAGTGACTATTTCATTAGCAAATAGAGAGAGAGCTGGGCCTGGAGTCAGGAAGACCTAAGTTCAAATCTAGCCTTGGACCCTTATTACCTGGGTGACAATGGACAATTCACTTCACCTCTATCTTCCTTGGTTTCCTCATCTGTAAAATGGGGATAATAATAGCACCTTCCTCCTAGGGTTGTTGTGAGGATCAAATGAGATAATTATAAAGAGCTTAGCACAGTGCCTGGCACATGGAAAGCACTAAATGTTAACTATTGTTATCATCGTCATCATTATCATCATTATTATTATCGTCGATTGAATGACTGATTAATTTATTAGCTTGGAACAAACACATGGATTGCCAAAGGCGTATTCACCCTCCCATCCCCTGGCACGAGGGGCTCTTACCTGTAGCCTCCGCATGGCCTCTGAGTCCTGGTCAGCCTTCACCTTACAAGCCACAAGCAGCTGGGCCGTGGAAGCTGCAACTTGCTTGGCGGATGAGATCAGCTTTTCCTCACTGGCATGGCCCTGAACGGAGGCATTGGCGGCTTCACACAGGCTACTGGTCGCCGCCGCCACCATCCTGGCCTGGAAATTGCCAACAGAAGAAAAAAAGGATCAGAAGCTCTCTAACTTTCCTCAGAGAGTTCAGAAAGCAAATAGAGAAGAGAAGGCAATGAATGACTCACCGCAGAAATTAGTCCCTGAGACCACTGTCCATCGTCAGCAGCATTTGCGGGGATCGCGCCAACCTAAAGAGGACAATTTAGAGATATTAGGAGAGCATGAGAGGCCATCGCTCCTCCCTTCCCCTGCCATGTACTTTTGAGGCCTCTGCTTTCTTCTAAAGCTAAAAAGAGAGCAAACTAATTCATAATCCCACATGGCACCACCACCCAGAAGTAGCATTAATAGGAGAACAGAAAGCCCTTTCTCAGACAGGACCCCGAACACTTCATGAAAGGCTGTCCAAGCAGATCCCACCCAGTCTTGGGCCACGCAGAGCAGATAAGAACTGTTCAGAATGACCTGATTTTAGTTGCCAGATACTGAGTTTCCCAAGAAAAGCTCAGGGAACAACAGGTGGGGGACAGTCTTTTATTTACTTCCTCTGACAACTGCATTCCACTTGAAATCTGGGAGCTACAAAGTCCCTGTATTTCAACGGATGAGGAAAATAGAAATCCCTCTAGTTACTGGGCACTGAAAGTGGCAACGTGAATTTCTGGCAGATGTCTCAGAAGAAAAGCGGTTTGTCTTACTGTTCATAAACTCCTGTGATTCCTCGTCTTCAAGAAATTCAGGTTGTTTCATCAGGGCAAGGAAAGCCTGAAGACAGCTTGTTTTTGTAACAAAAGAATAACAACAAGGGGACTAAAGCAAGGTTTTAGGGGAAATATTTCCTTCCAGGCAGGCACACGGGAGGTTAGTGGCAATGCAAAGAGCTTTTGGCTCATGTCTAGAAATATGGAGGGGCCAGACCTCACTGCATTGTCAAAGGAGACCTTTAGAAAGAGAAAGTGCTAATGGGACCACGGGGATCTTTAAGGTGACTTCAGAGATTACAGATTCAAACACCAGGGGGCATTGCAGGCAGTTGCTCGTTAGAAAAAAGGGAAGCTGTACCCATGTACACACATTTCAGATAACGTTTTCGTTTATTTGCTTTTTAATTATCATGTTATTCTGCAGCGGCTTTGAAGGGTGGCTAGGATTTGGATAGGTGGAACTGTCCATCTAAATTACACATTTTTAGACTACAATTTTATTTAAAGAAGGATATAATTATTAAATAATATTATTAAGTTCTTTATATTTTTCATATTGGACCTGTGGTTTCATTTTTACAGAAAATTCCCAAAGATGACTGGCAGTTACTCTGTAATCAACAGTCTCAGAGGGCTGCCTAAGGGGCACTGAGAAGGAAGTGACCTTCCTAGGGTGACACAGCTAGTATGTCAGAGGTAGGCCATGACCCAGGTCTTCCTGGCTAAGGCCAGCTCTCTAACCACTATCCTACCCTACCCTCTTCTACGTTGTTATACAAGGAGTCCTAGCATCATAATGGTGGAGGGGACATTAAAAGTCATTTAATCCAACCCCCTCATTTAACAGATGACGAAACTGAATCTTTTAAAAAACAACCCCCCCCCCCCAAAAAGTAAAAAACAACTGCCACGCAATTGAATTTAAAGAGAAGACAAAACTACTCATAATCCTTAAGTCAAACAAAGGAGAACTAAGAACTACCATTTTGTGGTGAGGCAGAATGGAATGGGTAGTTTACAGGTGAATCACATCTAAGAAACCCTCAATTTAAACACAAAGTGGCATTATGAAAGTTGGTACCTGGACACTTATTAGCTACGTGACCCTGGGCAAGTCACTTAAACTTGTTTGCCTCAGTTTCCTCATCCGTAAAATGAGCTGGAGAAGGAAATGGCAAACCACTTCAGTATCTTTGCCAAAAAAACCCCAAATAGGGTCAGGAAGAGTTGGACATGACTGAAAAACAACTGAACAACAACAAACTCAGAAGAAAATTATCTGTGTGAAGTTGGTCACTCATTCATTCCACAGGACTCAAATGCTAAAGAATGAATGACACTACTGCTTGGAAGCGAGAAGAGCAAAAATGGCATTTTTGACTTGTACCAGCTCCCTAGCTCCGGTGTTTAGATAGTCAGCCACTCACAAAGGGAAAAAAAAGATCGTTTATGACTCAAATAGTCCAATGGTACAATGGGAATATACATGTTTAGTCCAGGACTTGCCTCTCCATTCTAAAGTGGAATGCCTTTCTTAATAAGGAGCAGCTGGAAGGCCTGGAGTCCAAATACTTAATTATGTTTGTCAGGTTTATGTAAACACAGTTTTCGGCCAATCTAGACCAGGGCTGGCAATTCATTGAGTAAAGATGTCACGTGTAGCTATTTCAATTCGTATCCTGGATCACTCAGGCCCTGTCTCCAGATGCTTTTCAATTCCTCAGTTTTCTACCACTTGCCCATGCTGGACTTACTCACCTTCCCTTGGGCCACCAGCTCTCTCTGGGCGGCCGAAGCTGACTTGACGAGGGCACTCGTGGCTGCTGCAATGGATTTGGCTGCTTCTAAGATCTGTTCTTCAAAATCCAGAGTCTCATCTGCTTGCTATAATTAAAAGAGAACATTGTCATATGTAATTCATACGCACAAGGGGGCTGTTTCTGACAACCCGCACCATGCTGTCTCTTCCGTTACTGGTCTTTATTGTTTGTAAACCAACCGCACCCGTACAGCATACATTCTCTGCCATCTGGATTGCTCACATCTGTATAAAAAAAGTAAGAGCTGACCACTGGAAGGTACTGCAAAGATTTCAAAGGTGGGCATATTGTAAAAAGCATTTTTCTACAAGCCATATTTCCTTGTACCAAACTACAACAGAAAGCATAAAATCACACTGAATAATATAATTTGAGTTCATGCTTTTCTAATAAGAGAGATACTACATGAGTCCTGGGGTAAAATTTGAGAGTTATGTTCCTGATGATTCTATTCTCTATAGAGCCACAAGGATAGGATGGCTATCTTCCATGTCGCATTGTGAAAAATGAAAACAAAATATTTGTCTGACTTTCTAAGGGTGAGTGTTAAAGAAAACCACACACTATGGCAGGGACACAATCCAAAGAGAGTTGAAAACCTTTCCAAATGTGCTTCAAAGCCTAAGCTATCAAATAGAAAGAAGCCGAGTCTAGGGATGTGCCACTTGAAACACAAGGCAAATGTCATTTTGGGCCAATTGAACTTTGTGCTCTGATCCTAAGCATATCTTGACTGGATCACCCAGCAAGACAGAGAAAAGCTGTTTCAGTTCAAATGACAAAGCATCCTGGGATGCTGAAGGTGTGGCGGACGCGTGACCAAGGGGGTGGCCAGGAATCATTGCTAAATGCCTTATGTGGCAGGTTGGGAGACTTCATTGGTCAATACTAGCAAACAATTCAAATCAAAGCATATCAACATTAACATAACCATTCCGTACATTGGTGTCCTCAGCAATTGTACTCTGAACCCAGCAAAACGCCCAACTTATTTTTTTTTTTACAACATAATTAGAGGGGAATTTTAAAACAAAACAAATCCTTAATGAGATAGGGGCACCTCTAAGAATCAGGAGATGGATTTGGCGTGAGGATATTTGTTATGTCCTTCTTATCCTGGAACTCTGCTAGCTATGTCTGACTATGGTGTGGAATTCAGATTAAGATGGATACAGCTTGGACTTCCATCCAATAAGTGGGTGGAAGCAGGGTGGTTCAGTTACTATTGGAATTTTCAAAGGACTTTATTATAAAACAAACTCACCTAAAATAGGGTCCAATGACATGGGACCCTAAGGATTATATTATGTCAAGGTTCTACTGTATAAAGAATACTCACTGAGGTTAAGGAGTTTTCTTTTTTGGTGCTTTGAAAATTCATCTACGGGGAGAACTGTGTCTATCAGAACATTTTGATTCTGGGAAATCTATGGAATGTTGGAACTGGAAAGGACCTTGGTGGTCACTTAATTCCACTCATTCAACTGCAAAAGGAGAAAAATGAAGCCTAGAAAGAGTGATATGTTCAAGGTTAGATAGCAGGTTCAAGGCAGGGCCAGGACTAGAACCCAGGCTCCTAGTCTACTGTTCTTTCTATCCTAGTATTCTGGTACAACAGAAGAGCAACAGAACATCTGATCAGAAGAGTTCTTGTTTTCCCAAACTATGATCTTTTAAACCAAATGATAAATTCATTCAATTTAACAAACATTCTTTAGGCATTCTTAAATGTTATTCCCAGTACAAATGGAGCAGCTTCAGTAGAAGATATAGAGTACACAGAATTCCAAAGATGTGGAATTTTACTAAGTCTTTGTGAATTTGGCAAATTAAGCAAACCTCAAATCTTATTAAATGGCAAATTCTAAGAGACCCTCCAACTTCTTTTGTTGCTCTGGCATTTTATGTTATTAAATAATGCTTGAAATCTATGTTCTTCTGCCTGGGGAATTAGAAATCTTTTTGATACACTGAAATTTTGGTTGCCAATAACATTTGATGTCATGCTATTTGACCAGCACTTATTTTATTCTCCACAGTACATACTCTAAATCTTAAGATTGTTTTGAAAAGCTAATCTGTAGAAAGCCACTGATGCTATTGCTGCCCTCCAAAGACGGGCTTCAAATGGACAGCCTGATGGTCAAATACGGTAGGTAGGATAGAAGATAATTAGACATTAACTGGGGTTTGTTTAGAGTCATGTAATGAAACCTGTACTGTGTCTACTTCTTCTGCATCTGCCTGGAAGCCAGTTTTATCAGTAAATCTAAACCTACTCTGCTGAAAGCACACATCAATTACAGGGCACTTAGGTCTCCTTTGTGGTGCAGGACTCCTAGCCTAATTGGTGCATGGGCTCTCCCAAAGCCATCATGGAATTTTTAGTTCAGTATTTACAAATGTGAAGGTTTTAACAGAGATCCTGGTTACCCTTGAAGTAATTATTCCCCATGAATGGCTGCCTTCTCAGGATAATAGCCAATGGAATCTACGAGTGGGAAAGGAGAGGAAAAAAAGAAGAAATGCTGAATCGGTGTATCCTACAAAGGTCTGCCTGAATTAAGGGCCACAAAAAAGATGGGAGTCTTTGTTAAAAGAACAACTTACCACCGCGGGCAAGACTTAGTGTCAGGAGGCTGGAGGTGAATGTTAAGAATATTCCCATGGTATAATGGAAAGAACCCTGGGATAAGAGTCAGGAGATCTGGTTTGAGTCTGAGACCTATAACTAACAAACTTTATGACCCTGAAAAAAGTCTTCAATTCTCAAGGCTTCAGTTTCCTCATTTTTTTTTTTGAATAAAGAGAGAGGATTGGTCAAATTATTTCTAAGTTCCCTTCCAGATTTAATATTCTACTTTAGACTTTTTATTCTAATAATGACTACTGGCTAGAGCTCTATTCTCAGATGCAGAAGAAAATAAAGACTTAAAAAAAAAACCCAACAACAACCAACAAAACCCTGAGCTCCAGTTTCTGAGAAGAATTTACTGTTAAAAAAAAAAAAAAGCCACAGGGTTTCTGTATGAATCTGCTTTAAATGAAAATCTATTGTGACTGATCATATAAAAGTAAGCTAGCTAGCTTATCAAAGACTGCTTTTCAACTGTTTTTACTCACTGGGGTTGCATGCAGGATTTAAAAAAAAAGAAAAAGAAAAATCCTGCATTTAAATAGGATATTCCATTTAAAGGTGGCACTGTGGTATAGTGGATAATGACAGTCTCACCATCAAGAAGATCTGGGTTCCAGTCTCATATCTGATACCTACTGGCTCTATGATCCTGGACAGGTCACTTAATTTCTCAATACTCTGGGCAACCCTCTAAGAGTATGAGCTTTGACAAGCATACGAGCATTACTATGCCAACAGATCCACCCCTCATTTCTATCCCTAACTGATTTAAAAACTATTCATTCACCAGAGCCTGTTTAATATGAGCCATGAGAAACAATGACTACGAGGAAGTCAGAGAAACATGGGAAGACTTGTATGAAGTGATGCAGAATGAAGAAAGAAGAACCGAGAAAACAATATGCACAATAATGTAGGGAACATTAAAAAGCAGTTGAATTCTGACATACATAAGGATGAAATGTGATGAAACCTCTTTGGCTTATAGAACTGACAAAAGAAATGCACATTTGCCCTTTCACTGAGCTGAAGACTACAGACACGGGGTACAGGATAAGATCAGACTGACTTGCTGTCTGTTGGTTTTGCTTAAATATTTTTCCTTGTTACAAGGAAAGGCTCAAAGGCAGTGGAGGAAGAGGAGTTCGGGGGAAATGACTGGTATTAAAAAATTTAAAAAAAGGTATAAGAAAACAAATTATGTAGATAGATGAATGAATGATTAAAAAGTGAGCCATACAAGAATAAAAAAGAAAAGGTTTGCCTAAAGGATACTGAATCTGTGTGATCTATGTCCCTATCCCCCTCCCCCAATATTATTAACTGCCAGGGCTCCCTTCTATGATATCCAAGATCGGGGATTTAAACATGCCTGTATAAATGCAAACATGCTTCTATTTGCTAAAGGTTACAACTGAAGAAGAAACTCTTACTTAAATAGTGTTGAGGGAAAAAAGCACAAACAGAGCGCAATTCAAGAATGTGGTGACTGTTTCTTCCCTGTTAAAAATCAGGTCTTCAGCTGGCAAATATGAACATTCTTCTAAATTATTTTTTAACTCAATCTTGGCAAATTTACCACCAGAAAACTAACAATGCAATTTCCTCACTTTTCCACTGAAAATAATATGAACGTTGCTTTTTTTATGCCTTAATAATGACAAAATGCACAAAAAGATATAATAATGTCATCTATTCATGCAAAGAACTATGGAATCAAGCAACTCTCACTTCTAACAGTTCCATCTTGAAAAATAAAGGTTAATATCTATCTCTATCATGCCAAGTAGGCCAGTATGGGTGAAGACTGCATTATTACTTTGCCTTCTGTTCCCTGGCCTCTTGGCATAAGCGTGGTTTCTACCCCTTCTCTTCGGGGTCAGCCCTCTACCCATTCAGTCAAGTACAGGACTGAAGAGTAAGTAAAGGGTTCATATACGGGAGCTCTCTCCATTCCACGGATGGAAAGCATCAAGGATTTCTCTAATGATGGACTGCTCTGGTTCCTTCTCCTTCCTTGTGCGTCTCAAGAGTTACCAAAAGCTCATTATTATATAGGTCTATTTTAATTGTGGGGTTTTAAAGTTTTACTTGTAATTCAGGTCTGGGGCTCAGATACATGTTTTTTCCCCTGGGCTTTTTTTTTTTTTAACAATCTGATCTTAATCAAGGTGTTAATTGTAGTTTCTGATTACAACCCAATAAAACTGGAAATGGAAAAAAAAAAAGTGAAATAAATGAGGCATCAAGTAATGCAAAATTCTGCACCCAAAGCAATGTTTGACAGCTGCTTCCTGGGGGTGGCTTGCTACTCTGACAGAGTGTGGCTTAGTATAAAGAGCACTGGCCCAGGAGTCAGGAGGTGTGGGTCTCAGTATTGCTTCTGTTGCTGCCTTATCTCAGGACCTTAAGTCTCTTCATCTCCC